TCCCTTCCCTGAAGATATATATCAGAAAAAATATTACTGAGAGCAATGTCAGAGAGTTTACTGCCTATGTTTTCTTCTAGGAGTTTTATGGTTCTGGGTCTCACATTTAAGTCTTTAGTCCGTTTTGAGTTTATTCTTGTATATGGTGTAAGAAAGTGGTCCAGTTTCATTGTTTTGCATTTATTTCTCTAGTTTTCCTTACACCATTTATTAAATAGACTGTCTTTATCTCATTGTATATTCTTACCTCCTTTGTTATAGATTAAACGACCATATAGTCGTGGGTTTATTTCTGAGCTCTCTATTCTGCTTTATTAATCTATGTGTCTGTAAAACCTACATTTTAAAATATGGAAGAGCTAATAGGTAGTCTACTAGCCACCTTAGTTAATTAAAATTAAATAAATAGGACTCAAAAGCCAGATGTGGCTGGTGGCTATTGAATTGGACAGTGCAGACATAGACCATTTTTATCACCACAGAACTTTATATGGGACAGTACTGGTCTAGCTGCTCCCATCTCAGAGATGGTTCTACCCCCACCCCCAGCCCCATTTTCTTCCAGGCAAGAAAAGTAGAGGTCTCCTTGACCCCTTCCCACCACCGACTCTCAAACAGAGTCCACCCCCAAGCATTGAGGATCTGTCCCTTGAATGTGTCTGTCCACTGCTTTCCATTGCTTCCCTTCTGTAAACAAACCGATGTGCCCTGTCTGCCTGCTGCCTCTCCTGATACCCAAGAAGTTCACTCATACTCCAACCATCCTTTTCCATCTCTGGGAAGGCCTGCTCAGTCACCCTGTTTAAAACCACTGCCTTTCTTCCTCTGGTACTTCCTATCCTTCCCAGCTTTAGTCGTCTCTACTTGCCACCATTAGAGATAATGGAGAAGACATGGCCATTTCCCAGATATCTCTCAGGTTCCCTTTTTTGGAGCAGAAGATGATTTTGTGCTCTGGGGTGCTCTGGGATGAAGCCACATGACCAATTCTGGCCAATGAGTGTGCTCAGAGGTACCTGTGCACCTCCAGGCCAGAATGTTGACAGGCAGGATGAATCTCTAAACTGCGTTAACTGTTTGAGATGGCGGCTTCTGATCAGCCTGAATCCCTGAATGAGTACAAGTAGAGTCCCTTGACTACCTGTAATGGGCATGTAGGGTCAGTAAAAAAGTACTTGGGATTTGGATGTGTTTTTCTACTGTAGCCAAACCTATACCATCTTGACATAAACAGATTTCACTTGTTTATTTACTGTCCCTCTCTCCTTAGGAATGAATGCTTCACATGGCAGAGATTTTTATTTGCTTTGTTTTCCCAGGATCTTCAGTGCCTGGAACAGTACCTGGCACAGAATAGCACTCAATACTTGTCGACATGAGCATCCTACAGAACTGTGACCCCTGCATAGCTGGCCTGTATCATCCAGTATTACTCTTCTCCCTATTCATTTTCTACCCAGCATCCTGGGTTATTGTTCAAGTCTGTAAATCTGATATTATCACTTTCTTCCTTAAATCCTCAATGGCTTTCCATTGCCCTTAGACTAAGCTCCATTCTTCACAGCAGTTTGTGTTCTGACCCCTGCTTGCCTCGCCAGACTCATTCCCATCACCTTTTATCCTTTTTCTTTTTTTTATTGCAGTAAAATTTACATAACATATAATTTACCATTTTAACCATTTGGGGTGTACAATTCAGTAACATTAAGTACATTCACATTGTTCTGTAATCATCACCACTATCCATTTCCAGAATGTTTTTATCATCCCCAACAGAAACTCTGTGCCTATTAAACACTAATTCTTCAACTACTACCATTCTGACTCATGGAGCTCTATCTCTCTATGCCTTTGCAGTTTCTGGTGCCTGGTCTGCCCTTGGACATATTTTTCACTTAACGACCACCTCTTCATTTTTTCAAAAGCCAACCCAGATAAGCTCCTCTTCTCTGAAGTCCTCCCAGACCTTCCTCTCACTAAGGAGTCCATGGACCCCTGCTATGCACACATCTATTGCTATGCTCATACTTGTCTACACATTTGTCTCCTGCACAATGCCAGAGATCCTGGAGCTCAATGACCATGTCTTACTGATTTCTATGTCCCTAGTGCCCAAAGCACTGTGTGTTTGGTGAATGAACAAATGGCTGATAATTCCCTCAAGTCACTTTCCTGATAAAGCTATCAGTTCATTGGCCCAATTCCTACCATCTACTGAGTTCTTAATCCTTTATTTTCACAAATTCCATTTAATTCCTACAACAAGAATGCTAGGTAAGCATTATATCTCTATTTTACATAGAAGGAAACTGAGATTCAAGGAATCGAAGTGTTTCCCCAGAGTCAGAATTTCTTAACCAGAAATGGTTAAAGTAGCCTTTCCACAAAAATCAAGATGATGGTCAGGCATCATTGTGTCTGAAAACGAACTGGCAAAAAGAAGGGCTGGAGCTGTTGTTGTAGCTGCCAGCCCCCGAAAGACACGCGGGCCACCAGAAATCGGTGAGTTATAGGAAACACACTCTTTATTCAGCCAGCTGGGTCTGCCAGGGGTACGCAGACCCCAAATTAAGCAGCCCCGAAATGTAGAGGTACGGGGTTTTTAAGCCCTAAATCCCATTCCTCATTCTGTCTTAAACACAAAGGTCTATT